GAGGATCCTGAGGGGAACCCTTCCTCTTCTTAGAGCTCTTCGATGGCGCTACAGAAGTCACCCCAGAGCTGCTCTCACCAGGGGAATCAGTCATGGTACTGTAGCAATCTCTTTGCCCCAAGGCCTCACTCTGCCCAGTTCAGCAACCAGCACAGTAATCTACAACTGTTCTCACCGGAGACGGCAGTCGCAATGAGCCTCGTGGCAGTGAAAAAAGGGAAAACAGAATGGCCGCTGACCATGTGATCCACCAGAGGGCCAAACAAAATGGCCACCACCTCATGGCCACTAACAAAATGGCCATCGACGACACAAGGACCTTCTCAAGATGGACACCGCCCAAGAAGCTCTCCCAAAATGGCCACCCCCAGGGCCCCATACTCACAAGGGAGAAGCTTCTGGGAAAACAAATGGTGCCAGCGAGCAAATGGCCCCAAGAACGTCCGGATCCGCAAGCCTAGCTAGTGCCGATCGCGTCTTCCCGTCGTTCCAAACTGTTTGCATTTACACAGGAGTGCCGGCGCTCCGCACACGTGCTCCACGCACCAGCAGCCTCGATGTCCGCCCGCTGCAGCCCCTGAAAACCAGCAGCAATGCAGGGAAGCCTCCCTGGCCCGCTCATGAGCCAGCAATCAGAATCAAGCCGAACGGAGCCGCAATAGACTCTGATAGCCGGCACAGCCAGCTGCTTGCCTGCGAGGAACCTGAAAACCTCCAGCAGGAGCCAGCCCACACAATTCACTACTCTAACAACAACCAGGTGGGAAAAAACTTGTGAGCCAAGTTCAAACACCTTCCATACAATAGTAACATTAAAGACAAATGATAAAAGTAAAGAAAAAAAATACTGTAAAGCAAACTATTCTAAAAAAAATTGTCTTTATTTATTTTCAAACCTGCTCCTTTTCCATATTCCTCTATTTTTTTCTATCAATTTGGGTGCAGTTTTAAGTGGATCCTCTAAGATGAAGACCAAGTCATCTGCAAATGCTTGCAGTTTATAGTCTTCCTTTTTTATTTTCATTCCTTTTATGTCTTTTTCTTCTCTGATTTTTCTGTTTAAAGCTTCTAGTGTTAGGACAAATAACAAAGGGGATAATGGACAGCCTTGTCTTGTCCCTTTCCTTATTTCAATAGAGTCTTTCAATTCTTCATTTATCGTTATCTTTGCTGTTTGTTTATGATATATAGTTTGTTTGGCTTGAGTAATTTTTTTTTACCAAATCCCATCTGTTCCAGTTGTAACAACATAAATCGCCAACTCACGTTATCAAAGACTTTCTGTGCATCTAAAAACATCAAAGCCATTTGCTTTTCAGGATGTGCCTCATAATATTCCAAAGTATCCAGAATTATTCTTATATTATCTTTAATTTGTCTCTTTGGGAGAAACCGATTTTGATCAGGGTGGATAAAGTTATTTAAGTATTTTTTGAGTCTTTCTGCCAATATTGAAGCAAATATCTTATAATCTGAATTTAACAAAGAAATAGGTCTATAGTTCTTCATTTGAAGTGGGTCAGTCTCCTCTTTTGGCACAAGTGTAATATATGCTTCTGACCACGATTTGGGTATCCTCATCTTTAACATAACCTCATTCATAACTTCTAGTAATGGGAGACACAACAATTCCTGCAATGTTTTATAGAATTCCACTGGTAGTCCATCCAGACCTGGTGCCTTGCCATTGCTTTGTTTTTTAATTGCTTCAGTTAGCTCCATCGTCGTTATGTTGCCTTCTAGCATCATTTCAGTTTCTTTAGGTATCTGGGGTAAGTTTGCTTCCTGTAAGTATTGTTTAGCTCCTCTCTCTTCTATATTCTCTTGTTCATACAATTTCCCATAATAATCTTGTGTAATTTTTTTCTTCTCTTCATTTCTATGGCAGATTTCATTAATTGCAATATTTTCCTTGATTCTCTCTTTTTTCAATATGTACGCTAACCATCTGCCTGATTTATTTGCATTTTCAAAGTAGTTCTGTTTAGCACCTCTAATTTTTTGCGCTAATTCCTTTTTTTCCATTAACCCCATTCTATATTTAATCAGGTTACTTTACTTTTCTCATGTGTTGTTCTATTACTTAAGATTAACATGTAAATTAACTCAAAAATAAGGATGTTATTAGATTGATTTAGCGTTTGTATGCTTCCATCTATCTTCCATCGGAGGGTGTTTAATTTTAAGAGACTCCCACTAGCATTTGTCCTAAAGTGAAATCAGTCCAGAAACAAAGTCTGCATTTTCCACCACAAGAGATCAACAACTTTTAAAACTTGAACACATTTTTTTTTCCATTGGTGATAGAACTGCTCCTCAGAAAACAACAAATGAATTTTGGCTGCACATGCCGTTCTACTGCTGATACATCACTGCTTTGGAATCAGTCCAACATATTCAATTATAGTGTTATCACATCAGACTTAAGGCAAATTGAATGTCAGACTGAACACCCAAAACATGCAGTCAGAATAATATTCTTTATATACTTTAAAAAGGTTTATGTGTTCTATAAAGTGAGACTGAGCATTCCTTAGGCATAAAAATGCTGAGAAATTAACTTACCTTTTCCAATTCTCTTGGTATTCGCATGCATGTGTACACTCTCTCTCTCCGTTCTGTGTACTTGGCTTCATTGTGTTCAAGGAAGTAACCTCTTGTTAGCTCTGCATTGATAAACCTCAGTAGAGAAAGATCTGCATTGAAAGAAAACCTCTTTTTAAAAATGTTGAATTATTTAGCATTCCTTTTCTCATTTTTTTCTTAGCTGCCATAGTAAACTACTTTAAATTAATCTACGTCAGGGTCTCTAAACTGGCTGGGAGTTGAAGTCCACAAGTCTTAAAGTTACCAAGTTTGGGGACCCCTGATCTAGACCAACACGCAAGTGATAACATCACTTCAAATCTTACTATCTTTCCTCAGCATGCATCAGTGCCCCATCTACAATTCCACAGTGACAATATCTAGAATATAGCTCTTTACTATTTGTTGTTGCCTTCAGTTCCACCCACTAATTCTTCTCCTAATGTCTATGGATTTGCCTCAATCTTATTCAGTTCCAAGAATCTCCAAACTGAGTTAAACAAATTCCTGGCAGGAATTCCAGACAGCTCGCTCTACCAGTCCCCTATTCATTTTACTGGATGAAATGAGCCTTGCTGACTTATAACGTAAATCAGCAGGACTCTTCTTACTAGGGTTGCTGTTTAGCACTACAGTTTTTTTGCCTTTATTTAAAGACATGTAAAGACCCAAAAGTTTTCAGAAGCAATTAGAATTCAGAGGTTAAGGAAATAAATAATGGGTTTAAATCTGGAAATTGAGAATGAAAGTGATAAACTAGAGTCTATGAACAGAAGGGAGAAGGGATAATAAGGAAGCTTGACAGATTAGAGAAATGAGCTCAAAACAATGGAATGAAATTTAATAGAGACTAGTGCAAAATACTTTATTTAGAGGGAGAATCAGGTGTACAATATAAAAGTATATACGTATGAAGGGAGATCCCTGCACAAGACTAAGCCTTCCACAGAACTTCACATTTTTTATAATGTTTTGTAATGGATAGGATAGCCTGGCAGAGATTTTTTTTATGTTTGATATCCTTGGCCTGACTTGTTCACTATTGTTTCAAAGCAATGCAGATCGTAGAGGTGATAGTGAATCTCTTTGAAAGATTCCTCTCTTGATATTAACCTCTCCTATTTTATTACTATTGATCAGTAACTGTAGCTTCCATTGCACCACTGATCTTCTCATGATAAATTATTAAGAATGAGTAATAATTATAATAATATTTAATTAATAATTCATTGTTTAATAACATATTAAATATTATTATTAACTACAGTTTATCACAAGCTGATGATAAATCAACCAAAACTCATAGAGTATATTTTTAGTTTTTGATGTTTTGTGATGTAATTTGTTTTTGTTGCACACTGCCAAGAGTCCTCCAAAATTGAGACAGGCTCTAAGTAACTTTAAAACAAATATTTATGTATTAGGCAAGAGTAAGTTAGGAATACACATGCTGAATCCATGATCACGTTGAAATGGCTTCATGCAATGAGTTACCGTATTTTCACCCATATAACCCGCGGGTTATATG